AACCAAAGAGACCTTTACAGGTGGAAAGGACTTTGAGGAGTTTTCTTGGTCTCAAGAAATTAACCCAGTTAACTGGAGAGGTAGGACATAAAGATAGATTCTCTTCCACCTTTACCTTCCTAGGTAGAAGGGGAAGGAACAGAGGAGATGCTAGAAATGTTAAGAAATGTGATAACTCTAAAGAAGTTTTTTCAAGTTTGTTTTTTTTTTTATAATGTTTTATAAGGGCTTTCTAGTCACTTGCCTCCGAGCAGTCTTATGAAGGACTTTTTTATTGTTGTTATTTTATGGCTAAAATGAGTAGACACCAAAAATGCATAATAATAACATCACACATCATAAAGGGCTTTGCAGCATGCAGAACACATTCACCTGCCTCATCTCATTTGATCCAGTAACAACTGTATGCGAGGGGAAGGATGCTATTGTCATTTTAAAGGTTGCTGTTTATGCAAGTTCAAGAGGCAGAGTTCTTAGCAAGGCCAGGGCTAAGACCTGTTCTTTTGACCCACAGCCTCAGCATTATTTTTTCATAGGATACATAATAGGGCTTAGGGTGGTGCAACCAACATTTAAATCCCTAAGTTTTCTTGTTTATTCATTTGGCCTCATTAGCTACTCTTAGTCTCGAGGTAGAGTTTAAGCAACAGAACACAGAGGAACAAGTGTGATAAAATGTTTGAGGTTTAATTTAGCTGAATAAACTCAAAATTACTTTAATTAATTAGTCCTTATCTTATATGACTTGTACCTAGGATTAGTACTTCCTGCTAATTTCATCCTGTTTTGCAGTTAGAATGATGTAATTGCTTTATAAGTTGTGTTTCTTGTTAAATTAAAGGTTTATTTTTGTATTTCATATTTAGTATCTGGAGTAGAGCAGAAAAATTATTATGCCTGTGTTCCCTTGGGACTCATTGGAAATTGTACAGTGACATCTTCTGGGATTTAGTCTGGTGAGTTATATTTTGCTTTTTCTGTTTGTTACGAACATGATATAATATGTTTTAAGGACTACATAAATAGATAAATGTGAAATGTCAGTATATCATTGCAAATACGTATACTACAATTATGAAATTTTTAATGGTGAAAATTGAAATTATTGTTGTAGAATGCTAACATTATTTGAAGTTTTTGACTTTTGATTGACTATTGAGTAGATTTTCTTTTTTTTTATTCCTATAAAATAAAGGAGGTCTTATGGAATAATATTTCAAAATATAGTAGTTAAGAGGTAGTTGCTCTAATTTCAGGGAAATTTTAGTAAAACCATTAATCTCCAAAGATTGGCAAAATAATTTGCAAAAAGTTCTGGTTGTATATTATCATACATAAAGAGTAGCAAACAAATGACTGAAAAGAACACAATTTTCACTTAGTCAGATAGCAGTCCACCGCAAGTGTGACATTGCTTTTATCACACCATGAATTTAAACTGTTGAAAATATGCTGTTGTCTTTCTTTGGTTGTCTTTTTTTCAGTGTGTCATCTTTGTATCCGTGCTGACACAGTTGTTCATATAGCTCCAAATCTTTGACAGGGAAAAAATTTAATAATGATCTTTGTAACTTTTTAGTATTTTAAAAACTAGATTATTGTGAGTTCATGCTTTGGTATGTCATTCTACTTGGCTAAGATCTTTATAAATATTGCTTAGAGCAGTCATAATCCTTGGAAAAAACAGTTTCATAATAAGTGATTTCCAGATTAGCAGACGGCAGCAGAATGATTCAAAGGAATGATAGAGAAAAATGAACATTTTTGTTTGTTAAGTAGATATAGCCTATCAAATTTATGAAAATGCATTTTAAAACATTGAAAAACTGGAAACATTACTGAATTTTTCAGTTTTCAAGAAAAGAGCAAGAAGTTTGAAAACCATAAGTACAAAGTACTTTTAGAGGATATCGAATAAGAAAGTGGCTGAAATAAAGCACAAAATTTGGTCCTCCAATTTTTAAAATTCTTCAAATTTTAAATTCTTGTATATTCTTGTATATTCTCAGAATCAGAAGGAATGGTTGTCCAGTCTATGTTTGAATGCCTTTAATGTCAGGCGACTTACTACCTCTTAAGTTGGTTCATTTATCCTTTTGCAGCTGTGCTAGAATGTCTTTTTATTTACATATATAACTATATATACATATGTACATATATTTGCATATGGAGAGATATAGGTACATACACACATGTAAACACATTCTTGTAGCTATAGGAATATAAAATTTGGAGGACCATCAAAAACTTGGAAGTATGTGAGAGGCTTCTTTTATTTTTAAAATCAAATTCATTAATTTATAACCAGTAAAAATTCACCCTTTTAAGTATATAGTATGTTGAGTTTTGACAAACGTATCCAGTTGTATAATGACCACTACAGTCAATATAGAATATTTTCATCATCCCTCCAAATTCCCTTGTACCCCTTGTAGTCTGTCCCCTCCTCCCAACTGCAGTCCTTGGTACATTGATCGATTTCTGTCCCAATAGTTTTGCCTTTTCCAGAGTGTCATATAAATGGAATCACATAATATGTAGCATTTTCTGTCTGCTGCTTTCATTTGGTGTAATTTTAGTTTGCTCCTTTTCATTTCTGAGTGATATTTTATTCTGTGATTGGAATAGTTTTTTTTTTCCCCCCATTTCCCTGTTGATGAATGTTTGCATTATTTCCAGATTTTGGTGATTATGAATGAAACTGTTATAAACATTCACGTTCAGGTCTTTGTGTGAACATATATTTTCGTGTATCCTACCTAGGAAAATACCTACAAGTAGGGTAGGTGGGTTGTTTAATAAGCATTTATTTGTTTATAAGAAATTGCCAAAGTACCTGACAGAGGCTTCTAAGAGGCGAAAATAACTATACCAAAATGTATGCAGATGTAGAAACCTGATTCTTATTCAGCACAGATTTACTTTTATTTTATATCCAGTTTTAATAAGTTTGGTTAGCAGATTTTTTAAAAGCCACGGTAAATTAGAAACAGTAAACTAGAAGGCCTTAGTGAAAGGTTGTTAGCAATTGGAAGCAGCCAAAAATGATATCCACTAATTTAACTATATCGATTAAAAAAAAAAAAGGGCAGGAACTTACAGGAGTGAATCTCTTTTATCTGATAAGTTCTATCTGACACGTTCCCAGATGTGTTGGTATATTAGAATCACCTAGGGGTCTTTTAAAAATTTTAGAGCTCAGGCTATCCCCCAAATGAAAAATCTGGAATAGAACACAGGCATCAGCATTTTTTGAAGCTCCTTGGATGATGTCAGTGTGTAGACAAGTTTGGAATTGTGTACTAAAAGCATAGCATGATGAAATAGAAGGAGCACTCGACTTGGAGCAGGAGATCTGGGGTTGCCTGCATGGCTCTGGGCAAGCCCCTGCCTTTGTAGCTTCAGTGTCGTCTTCTCTATAATCAGAAGTTCCAGGTAGGTGAACCCCAAGATGTTTCTGCATTAAAATTTATGGTGCTAGATACCATTAGATGGATAATAGCCATGCTTGGGAGACTCCATTTCCTAAGGAATGGCTCTATTCTGAATTGTTTGTTTCAGGTACCTCTTGAAAAGAATTTTGTTCACATGATGACATTTTTGTTCTGTATATTTAGATAGTTATATCTGTTTCAAATGGTATTGCTGCATATTTCTAAAAACAGTTCAAGCATATGGAGCAGTTTTTTGATTACTGAGGGTGACTTTTTTTGATAAGCTTGATTTAAAAAAAATTCCCAGAATGCAGTTATTCTCAAAAAGAATTCTTTGTATAGCAGTTGTGAAACTTATCAGCTATTTTCAGAGCTAGTCTAAGGAGCTAAGGGGTTTGGTTTTATTTTCAGAATGTTGCTCTTTTTGCCCAATATATAGGAAGTTTGGCCTCTTGGAGAGTGTTCAAAGCTGAACAGGTTCCATACAGATCACAGGGTTTTGAATGTGCCCATCTTAGTGCCTGGGTTCCCCTGCACATGTGCGGTGGTTTGGGCCTTGTTTGCTCTAGTTTCAGACAAAATTCACAATTGCATGCTGTACCTAGTGGTTTAGAAATGTGCACTGTGTACATTTTTCTGGTTAATATTAGAGTGTTACCTTGTCTGGTTTTTGTCTAGTTTAAATCCTCACATATTTCAAATAAATAGAGTGGCACCTGTGAACATTGCCAGGTCTTTCATATGTGTTCTAAGTATATGTCAGTGCTGTTGTTACTGATTGGATTGTGAGAGAATTTGATATTGAAGATCCTTAGATGTCGTTTAAAAAATTACATTTGTTCCTGGTACTAGTATGAGAAACACAGTTTTAAAAGCATTGTTCAACTACAAGGTGAGTTTTCTGTTCTTGTTACATTTTCTGTTCTAGACTCCTCTCTCCACTGAAATTTTGCTGCTTCTGTTATAACGTTTTTCTATTTTCTGTGTCCAGTCTTTATATTTGCTTTAAATATATATGAAAGGCATTAAATGAAGCAATAAGGGTATTTCTGGTTCCTGATTGTTAGTGCCCTGCAGTGCAGAGGTTAGCATTGGATCTGAGCATTGGGCCTGATTTCTTAGTTCACATTTATTCTTATTGATGCCATGAGAGTAGTGTCTGTTTCATATACTACAATATATATGGGAATGCTTTGTAATTGTTTATCTTAGAAATATGCTTTTTTGGTTACAAAGTTTATTTTAAAATGTGAAATAAAATGAGTAGTCAGGGATAGGTTTGTTAAAAATAACAAACCCACAGACAAACATTTCATGGTAAAATATGAAGAATTTACTGTTAAACACAGGCCATCTCCAGTCATGATAGCCAAGTTTCCTGGTAAATGACTTTTAATAAATTTTTCAGTGCAAAATATTGGACATCCATATGTTGAAATATGTTGACTTTAAGACTGTTGTCTTTTTTGCTTTTAGCATCTTTTTTTTTTTTTTGAAATTTCCAGAATTAGAAAGTACCTAGTCTTCCTCCTCTTCAGGAGGAACAAGTACCTTTACCACTTCGACCCATTTAAAAGATAACCTGAGAAAGTTGATTCTGTCGCTTCTCTCAGGATCTTGCTCCAGTACTTAAATCCAGTTAGGAAATTCTCAGGGATTTAACAGCCTAAAAAGTTTGTTTTCAGTTACACTGAAGAATGGAAGATATGCTGCTTAGTCAATATTCCACCCAGCTAAAAATGAAATATTTGTCAATCAGGGCTCTGTAGTTTGAAATCCAGCTTCCACCTAACTTTCTTAGTCCCACACAATAGATAATCTTTTGACAGGCAATATATAAGTGGAAAGGATCCTTTAAAAAAAAAAATCTAAGCAATTTGCAAGAGTCCTGGTGTACCACTCACATTCTTACTTGAATATCAAGATCTGAAGATGTTCTTTTACATATGACAATACACTGCAGAGACCAATGAAACCAAGTTAAAGATGTTAGTTTTTAGACTATGCTATTGTTTGGAGCAGAAGTACTAATGTTTTATAGCAAAAAAGTGTAAACAATTTTCCAACCCT